AGCCTGTGGGTCTGCATCGGCCGTCGATTTTGACGGGTGCCTTCGTTGCACCACATCATGCTTCAGCTTTTTGGATGCCTAAAATCAATGCTGCATTCTTGCTCGCTTTCGGCTGCAACCTTGTCCACTGCCTGTCTGTGCTTGCTTGGTTGATCAGGATACTGTTGGCTCGCATTCATTGCTGTGGCTCCAGTTGATCGCTATTTGGGTGCGGTGGGCCATGCAACACTCCCGTGTTTGAGGTCCTCATCGGCATCCTTTTCAGCAGGCCACAGTATCGATGCTTCCTCGCAATCGGTGGGGCAATGATGCACCCCATTGTGCATTTGGACAGCCCGACCCTGCAGGCTCTTTGCTGCACGAGCTCGTCCTTCCTCGCAGAAAACGCTTCGCGTGGCAGCGCCCTTCTTCGCCTGCATCTGAGGCTCCGCCTTTCGTACCTAAGAGGCCCTTGCTGGGCTCCTGTGCGACACCTGCATCCTCACCTGACACGGTTGCGGAGACGCGATCTGGGAGTTCCGCGGACTTTCCCCCTACCTGTCCGGCCAGGCCGTACATTGGGGCACCTGGCACCGTGCATCAAGCCTACTCTCTTGCTTTGCAATTGCAGGTCACAGAGTGGGTGCGGTTGGCCCGCCTGGCAGCCCCGCATAGCTCTGCATTGCCTGAGGTTTTGAAATCCGGCAAGGCAGATGTGCATCTAGCTAAGATGGTGGCTTCCTATGCTCCATCAACGCTGGCGGCCTACTTGTCGAAATGGCGACATTGGATCAGGTTTGCATCGGCCTGCGATGCCAACCCTTATGATCCTTCCATTGCTCTTCTCCTGGATTTTTTGGCAACTAATTCCAGGGGCAAGTTGCAAACTGCGACCACATGGATCAAATCTTTGAGGTTCATCTCCAGGAAGGCGCAACTGGACTCACTGCGTTCGGCCTTGCATTCAGATCTCGTTTCCGCCTACGGCAGATCTGGCTCCATCGTGGAGCGACGTGAGAGTGCGCCTCTGCCACTCAGTTTTGTCATTTTCCTCGAGCGCCAGGTCCTGGACACATCACTTTCGTCTCAGCATCGCATCATCGCAGGGGCCTTTCTGCTTTGCATCTT